AAGTTCATCATTTAGCAGCAAGGAATTCCCTGGGAAATATCCCACCTTCTGACTCCAGCACCTCAAACAAGCTTCGCAATCAACATTGCTGTGTACACTATTCAATTGTTTAAAACTTATACTGGTTATGTGCATATATAGATATGTATAATGCCTTTTGTCTGGCAACATTTCCCTGGAACCTATCCCCGCCCCCACCTCTTATGGGGAAATTGGATTCGCTTAACATCGTTTTGCTTAAAGTAGCATTTTCCAGGAACATAACTACTGCGTTAAGCGAGGAGTTATTGTGTGTCTTTGTGTTCGCATGTTCATCCCCCACTGTAACCGGGCCTCAGTGGGTTATAAGTGAGGATGTCAAATTGTGGACGAACTGCTGAGAAATAAGGCAGAGACACCCCAAGACTGGTGGCTGATCCCCCATAGACTTTACCAAACCAGCCACAAACATAAACTCCTGGTTCCCCACACTGGCTAACAAGAGGACATAAAGGCAGTTTCTTCAGTTCTTATATCACCACCAAAACCACTGGATTCAGAGATGAGTGGTTCTTTACAACCAGTCTCATCAAATAATAGCTTCTTCTGATCCCAAAGGACCAGCCACACACCCAGGTCAATATATAACTTAGATCTTACCCAAAAATCACGCTGGTGCCAATCCTTTAGTATCTAAAATCTAAAGGTTTATTCATAAATAGAAAGAAAGGAAGCTGAGAGTTAAAACTGGTTAAAAGAATCAAATACATACAGTAATTGCAAAGTTCTTGGTTCTGGCTTGTAGCAGTGATGGAATAAACTGTTGGCCTGAGTCAAGTCTCTGGAATACATCCACAGCTTGGATGCAGACATGCCAAACCCGCAAAAAAAATGCAGAAATTGGGCTTGTTTTTGGCTTAATTGGCTTGTGAGTTGCTTGTTGGCTAGTTTTTGGCTTGTAGCTTGTTTGCTGCTTCTTCTTTTTTTTTTTTGAGTCAGGGAATCACAGTGGGCCCAGCCCAGTCCCAGACTGCACGCCAGGAAGATCTAGTCACATAGTGTGTTGGGGTTCCTAGGGATTGGCTTGTTTTGGCATTTGTATGTAATGGGATTAGCTTGACTTTTGGCTTTTTATGAAAGTCGACGTGATAATTTACCGCATGAAAGTTGGCAACCATGTTTGTATAGGTCATTCAGTCCTTTGTTCAGAGCTTCAGTTTGTAGCAAAGTTTCTCCAGAGGTAAGAAGAAGGATTGAAGACAAAATGGAAGTGTTTCCAGGGCCTTTTATAGCTTTTGCCATGTGGAGGGCATCCCATTGTTCTTACTGTGTAAAATTACAGCAACAAGATGGAGTTTGGAGTCACATGGGCAAGGCCCATGTCCATGCATTTCGCTCAGTCATTGCAGGAAGCCATTACCTACACTCCAGACAGCCCGTTTACATGACAGTCCACTCAGTGTAGATGGGCATCTCCCATGGTCCATTGTCAACCAAGTTTTTCTTGATGAGTCACTTAATTTGAATAGTCCCTCCAAGATGTGCTGGGTGCTACCTTGTGGGTGTTACCCCAGAAGCAAACATTTGAAAGCCAGGTATAGAATCAATATTCATAACTTCAAATACAAACATGATACATGCATGCAAATAGCATAATCATAACCAGCAAATCATAACTTTTTCATAGACTTCTCACTTGACAACTTTTGTACAAGATTTACTGCAAATATATAACAGTGGTTCCAACAATGATCTATATGGTCATATTTTAATCAGATAACATCACACCCACCCCCTGGGGCCTCCTCCAATCTGCCACTTTGTCCTAGGCGTATTGATCCCAGGATATTAGAGAGACAAGGCAGGGGAGGTGATATCTTTGATTGGACGAACTTCCGTGGTGAAAGCAACAAGCTTTTGAGCTAATGTTGCCCATTTTGGTTGGACGTATTCCTGGAGGTTTCATCGTATGACATCATGGTTAATGAGAGATTATTCTTTAATTCCTTGAGACCCCAGGACGATCCTGGAGGGTTGGCAACTCCATTTTGGGCTATACAGAGCTCTTCTTCTGGGCTGGGGAAGGTTCTCGGGGTGTCACGGCAGAACGGCTACATCCAAGATGGAACCGATTATTCAGCACTAGGAGTTAAAGCACATTGTGAGCAACCATTCAAGGTGAAAAGGGTGGCGAACACCTCTGCAGTTATAGGATGAAGGAGGGTTAGTAGGTGAGAGACTGTTGCAACGAGCCATAAATCTAGTGTCTCTACTGAGTCCATGAATTTGGGTGTCTAGCAAAGTCATGAATTTAAGCACCTGGGCTCATCCTTTGAAGGCATTTCCTTTCTTCTCAGTCCTGGTCCTGAACAGAAACCTGACCAATGCCATTAAACGAGGAGCTTACATTCCTAATGTAGCTCGGCCTTTTCTGTTTTAGCTGTGGGAGGGAATATGGCTCAGTGGTTAGAGCAGCCCCCTTAACAGGCGCTTCAAAAGCATGGAGGAACCCAACCCCCACTGAAATGGAAATTACCATGCATCTTTAACTGGGA